TTCCCTACATCTTTTTTTTAATTTTTGAATTTAATTTTATTTATTTTTTTATACAGCAGGTTCTTATTAGTCATGCATTTTATACACATCAGTGTATACATGTCAATCCCAATCTCCCAATTCATCCCACTCCCACCCCCCCACCACTTCCCCGCCTTGGTGTCCATATGTTTGTTCTCTACGTCTGTGTGTCAATTTCTGCCCTGCAAACCGGCTCATCTGTACCATTTTTCTAGGTCCCACATATATGCATTAATATACGATATTTGTTTTTCTCTTTCTGACTTACTTCACTGTGTATGACAGTCTCTAGATCCATCTACGTCTCAACAAATGACCCAGTTGCATTCCGTTTTATGGCTGAGTAATATTCCATTGTATATATGTACCACAACTTCTTTACCCATTTGTCTGTCGATGGGCATTTAGGTTGCTTCCATGACCTGGCTATTGTAAATAGTGCTGCAATGAACACTGGGGTGCATGTGTCTTTTTGAATTATGGTTTTCTCTGGGTATATGCCCAGTATTGGGATTGCCGGATCATATGGTAATTCTATTTTTAGTTTTTTGAGGAACCTACATACTGTTCTCCATAGTGACTGTATCAATTTACATTCCCACCAACAGTGCAGGAGGGTTCCCTTTTCTCCACACCCTCTGACCAGCATTTATTGTTTGTAGATTTTTAGATAATGGCCATTCTGACTGGTGTGAGGTGATACCTCATTGTAGTTTTGCTTTGTGTTTCTCTAATAAATAGTGATGCTGAGCAGCTTTTCATGTGCCTCTTGGCCATCTGTATGTCTTCTTTGGAGAAATGTCTATTTAGGTCTTCTGCCCATTTCTGGATTGGGTTGTTTGCTTTTTAATATTGAGCTGCATGAGCTGTTTATACATTTTGGAGATTAATCCTTTGTCCACTGATTTGTTTGCAAATATTTTCAATTTTTTTTAATACTATTTTTTTTTTTTTTTTGGCTGTACGCGGGCCTTTCACTGCTGTGGCCTCTCCCATTGCGGAGCACTCCGGACGCGCAGGCTCAGTGGCCATGGCTCACGGGCCCAGCTGCTCTGCGGCATGTGGGATCTTCCTGGACCGGGGCACGATCCCGTTGTCCCCTGTATCGGCAGGCGGACTCAACCACTGCGCCACCAGGGAAGCCCTATTTTCTCCCATTTTGAGGGTTGTCTTTTCATCTTGTTTATGGTTTCCTTTGCTGTGCAAAATCTTCAAAGTTTCATTAGGTCCTATTTGTTTATTTTTGTTTTTATTTCCATTCCTCAAGGAGGTGGATCAAAAAAGATCTTGCTGTGATTTATGTCAAAGAGTGTTCTTCCTATGTTTTCCTCTAAGAGTTTTATAGTGTCCGGTCTTACATTTAGGTCTCTAATCCATTTTGAGTTTATTTTTGTGTATGGTGTTAGGGAGTGTTCCAATTTCATTCTTTTACATGTAGCTGTCCAGTTTTCCCAGCACCACTTATTGAAGAGACTGTCTTTTCTCCATTGTATATCCATTGCCATAGATTAGTTGACCATAGGTGCGTGGGTTTATCTCTGGGCTTTCTATCTTGTTCCATTGATCTGTGTTTCTGTTTTTGTGCCAGTTCCATGTTGTCTTGATTACTGTAGCTTTGTATATAGTCTGAAGTCAGGGAGTCTGATTCCTCCAGCTCCGTTTTTTTCCCTCAAGACTGCTTTGGCTATTCAGGGTCTTTTGTGTCTCCATACAAATTTTAAGATATTTTGTTCTAGTTCTGTAAAAAATGCCATTGGTAATTTGATAGGGATTGCATTGAATCTGTAGATCGCTTTGGGTAGTATAGTCATTTTCACAATGTTGATCCTTCCAATCCAAGAACATGGTATATCTCTCCATCTGCTGGTATCATCTTTAATTTCTTTCATCAGTGTCTTATAGTTTTCTGCATACAGGTCCTTTGTCTCTCTAGGTAGGTTTATTCCTAGGTATTTTATTCTTTTTGTTGCAGTGGTAAATGGGAGTGTTTCCTTAATTTCTCTTTCAGATTTTTCATCATTAGTGTATAGGAATGCAAGAGATTTCTGTGCATTAATTTTGTATCCTGCAACTTTACCAAATTCATTGATTAGCTCTAGTAGTTTTCTGGTGGCATCTTTAAGGTTCTCTATGTATAATATCATGTCATCTGCAAACAGTGACAGTTTTACTTCTTTTCCAATTTGTATTCCTTTTATTTCTTTTTCTTCTCTGATTGCCATGGCTAGGACTTCCAAAACTATGTTGAATAATAGTGGTGAGAGTGGACATCCTTGTCTTGTTCCTGATGTTAGTGGAAATGCTTTCAGTTTTTCACCATTGAGAATGATGTTTGCTGTGGGTTTGTCATATACGGCCTTTATTATGTTGAGGTACGTTCCCTCTATGCCTACTTTCTGGAGGGTTTTTATCATAAATTGGTGTTGAATTTTGTCAAAAGCTTTTTCTGCATCTATTGGGATGATCATGGTTTTTCTCCTTCCGTTTGTTAATATGGTGTATCACATTGATTGATTTGCCTATATTGAAGAATCCTTGCCTTCCTTGGATAAACCCCACTTGATCTTGGTGTATGATCCTTTTAATGTGTTGGATTCTGTTTGCTAATATTTTGTTGAGGATTTTTGTATCTATATTCATCAGTGATATTGGTCTGTCATTTTCTTTTTTTGTAGTATCTTTGTCTGGTTTTGGTATCAGCATGATGGTAGCCTCATAGAATGAGTTTGGGAGTGTTCCTTCCTCTGGAATTTTTTTGAAGAGTTTGAGAAGGATGGGTGTTAGCTCTTCTCTAAATGTTTGATAGAATTCACCTGTGAAGCCATCTGGTCCTGGACTTTTGTTTGTTGGAAGATTTTTAATTACAGTTTCAATTTCATTACTTGTGATTGGTCTGTTCATATTTTCTGTTTCTTCCTGGTTCAGTCTTGGAAGGTTATCCCTTTCTAAGAACTTGTCCATTTCTTCCAGGTTTTCCATTTTATTGGCATAGAGTAGCTTGTAGTAGTCTCTTAGGATGCTTTGTATGTCTGTGCTGTCTATTGTGACTTCTCCTTTTTCATTTCTAATTTTACTGATTTGAGTCCTCTCCCTCTTTTTCTTGATGAGTCTGACTAATGGTTTATCAATTTTGTTTATCTTCTCAAAGACCAGCTTTTAGTTTTATTGGTCTTTGCTATAGTTTTCTTTGTTTCTATTTCATTTATTTCTGCTCTGATCTTTATGATTTCTTTCCTTCTCCTAACTTTGGGTTTTGTTTGTTCTTCTTTCTCTAGTTCCTTTAGGTGTAAGGTTAGATTGTTTACTTGAGATTTTTCTTGTTTCTTGATGTAGGCTTGTATTGCTATAAACTTCCCTCTTAGAGCTGCTTTTGCTGCATCCCATAGGTTTTGGATCATCTTGTTTTTGTTGTCATTTGTCTCTAGGTATTTTTTGATTTCCTCTTTGATTTCTTCAGTGATATCTTGGTTATATAGTAACATATTGTTTAGCCTCCATGTGTTTGTGTTTTTTACGTTTTTTCACTGTAATTCATTTCTAATCTCATAGCGTTATGGTCAGAAAAGATGCTTGATATGATTTCAGTTTTCTTAAATTTACTGAGGCTTGATTTGTGACCCAAGATGTGATTTATCCTGGAGAGTGTTCCGTGCACACTTGAGAAGAAAGCGTAATCTGCTGTTTTTGGATGGAATGTCCTATAAATATCAATTAAATCTATCTGGTCTATTGTGTCATTTAAAGCTTCTGTTTCCTTATGTATTTTCATTTTGGATGATCTGTCCATTGGTGTAAGTGAGGTGTTAAGGTCCCCCACTATTATTGTGTTACTGTCAATTTCCTCTTTTATAGCTTTTAGCAGTTGCCTTATGTATTGAGGTGCTCCTATGTTGGGTGCATATATATTTATAATTGTTAAATCTTCTTGGATTGATCCCTTGATCATGATGTAGTGTCCTTCCTCGTCTCTTCTAACATTCTTTATTTTAAAGCCTATTTTCTCTGATATGAGTATTGCTACTCCAGCTTGTTGTAGAGCTGGTTTGATGGTGCTGAATTCTCTTAGCTTTTGCTTGTCTGGAAAGCTTTTGATTTCTCCATCAAATCTGAATGAGATCCTTGCGAATCTGAATGAGATCCTTGCCTGGTAGAGTAATCTTGGTTGTAGGTTTTTCCCTTTCATCTCTTTAAGAATATCACACCACTCCCTTCTGGCTTGTAGAGTTGCTGCTGAGGAATCACCTGTTAACTTTATGGGAGTTCCCTTGTATTTTATTTGTCTTTTTTCCCTTGCTGCTTTCAATAATTTTTCTTTTTCTTTAATTTTTGCCAATTTGATAACTCATGTCTCAGCATGTCTCTCCTTGGGTTTATCCTGTATGGGACTCTCTGTGCTTCCTGGACTTGGGTGGCTATTTCCTTTCCCATGTTAGGGAAGTTTTCGACTATAATCTCTTCAAATATTTTCTCAGGTCCTTTCTCTCTCTCTTCTCCTTCTGGGACCCCTATAATGCGAATGTTGTTGCATTTAATGTTGTCCCAGAGGTCTCTTAGGCTGTGTTCATTTGTTTTCATTCTTTTTTCTCTATTCTTTTCCGTAGCAGTGAATTCCACCATTCTGTCTTCCAGGTCACTTATCCGTTCTTCTGCCTCAGTTAATCTGCTATTGATTCCTTCTAGTATAGTTTTCATTTCAGTTATTGTATTGTTCATCTCTGTTTGTTTGTTCTTTAATTCTTCTAGGTCTTTGCTAAACATTTCTTGCATCTTCTCGATCTTTGCCTCCATTGTTTTTCTGAAGTCCTGGATCATCTTCACTATCATTATTCTGAATTCTTTCTCTGGAAGGTTGCCTATCTCCACTTCATTTAGTTGTTTTTCTGGGGTTTTATCTTGTTCCTTCATCTGGTACATAGCCCTCTGCCTTTTCATGTTGTCTGTCTTTCTGTGAATGTGGTTTTTGTTCCACAGGCTGCAGGACTGTAGTTCTTCTTTCTTCTGCTCTCTGCCCTCTGGTGGATGAGGCTATCTAAGAGGCTTGATGGCAGGGACTGGTGGTGGGTATAGCTGGGTGTTGCTCTGGTGGGCAGAGCTCAGTAAAACTTTAATCCACTTGACTGTTGATGGGTGGGACTGGGTTCCCTCCCTGTTGGTTGTTTGGCCTGAGGCAACCCAACACTGGAGTGTACCCAGGCTCTTTGTTGGGGCTAATGGCAGACTCTGGGAGGGCTCATGCCAAGGAGTACTTCCCAGAACTTCTGCTGCCAGTGTCCTTGTCCTCAAGGTGAGACACAGCCACCCCCTGCCTCTGCAGGAGACCCTCCAACACTGGCAGGTAGGTCTGGTTCAGTCTCCCCTGGGGTCACTGCTCCTTCCCCTGGGTCCCGATGCGCACACTACTTTGTGTGTGTCCTCCAAGAGTGGAGTCTCTGTTTCCCCCAGTCCTGTCAAAGTCCTGCAATCAATTCCCACTATGCTTCAAAGTCTGATTCTCTAGGAATTCCTCCTCCCGTTGCCGGACCCCTAGGTTGGGAAGCCTGACGTGGGGCTCAGAACCTTCACTCCAGTGGGTGGACTTCTGTGGCATAAGTGTTCTCCAGTCTGTGAGTCACCCACCCAGCAGTTATGGGATTTGATTTTACTGTGATTGCGCCCCTCCTACTGTCTCATTGTTGCTTCTCCTTTGTCTTTGGATGTGGGGTATCTTTTTTGGTGAGTTCCAGTGTCTTCCTGTCCATGATTGTTCAGCAGTTAGTTGTGATTCTGGTGTTCTCGCAAGAGGGAGTGAGAGCACGTCCTTCTGCTCTGCCAGTTTGGTTCACGGCCTTAATTTATATATTCTTAAGGGAATCCAAACATTTTTATTTACTCAAGACTATTAATGACCTTAAAGAATGGAGGTGAGAAATTGACATTTGTGTAAATGAAAATTTCTGATTTGTTCACAGGCACAAGAAGCCAGTCAATTACTCCCAGTTTGAGGACTCTGATAGTGATGGTAAGTAGAGCTTCTTATGTCTTCTTTAAAGATTTGGAAACTTATTTCCTCACAGTTTATAAGATGTGTGTGTGTGTGTGTGTGTGTGTGTGTATGGCTAAAATATGGTTAGTACCAATTGCATATGAGGTAGGCCTGGAAAAATAATATTCTAAGCACTTAGGATACTTATGTTGATAATTACACTGACAAGAATTATTGGCATAAATCATAACCAAATAGGGCCATGTAAAATGGCTTTTTAGATCTAAACTCTGTGAGGTCCATGTTTCTCACTGTGGGATTTGTATCCTTTTATCCCTTCCTGTAAGAAGAACACAGTCTTTCTGAGATACAAATGTGTTACAGAATATAATGTGAAATCCCCATTAATTGTACAATAAAACAAGACATTGAAAAAAGATCAGGCATAAACTTTAACCCTATTGTGTTATATATATATATATATATTCGCTTGTCTCTGCTATGAAGAGAACTTTGGTCAAAAAGTTTGAAAAACATTGTTAGATTACATTATACTTAAAGGTAAGTTTTGTGTTTCTTTCTTAGACCATTGGAGTTTTCTGCAGGTCGGATATTTAGTAATTCCTCTGTTTGAAGGAATCTGTTTTTCACCTTGAGCCCAGTCTGATGTGTGTCTAACACTTGGGAGAAAAGAGCATAGGGTATAACTTCTAGCTTTTTACTTATTGTCATCAATCTGTCACTAAATTGTTATAAATTGCTGGTTGTGTTCTGGAGACTGTGGCATGGGGGTGGGGGGCGAGTCACAAATTATTATATTCCTACCTGGGGAAGAATAAAAGAGACGACAGGTATTAATAAATGCGCAAGTGCGTGATTCAGACTACACGCGCCTGACGGTATGCATACATGTGTCATGTATGTGTTAGAACGCTAGAGCAGCAGAGTCTTAGCTTGAGTGTCAATAGAAGAACTGCCTCACTTCTGAGGATTGGTGGGACGGAAGACTGGGAGAACAGAATGGGCTGGAAAAGAGCATCCCTTTGCCAAAAATCATTTTCTTCCACTTGTCAATATGATAAAATTATAAAGGGAATTTTAATAATTTTTCTAATGGTTTTACAGAGTTTTAATTAATTGTTCTTTTCTTTGCCACTTGCACATACTAGCTTAGCTGCCTTTGCAGCTTTTTGGGGGATTAGTTTTTGATAGATTGATATTTTAAAAAATCAAGGCCACTAAAACAAAGTTGAAAAGCTTGAGGGAGAATAAAGGCAAACAGAATACCAACAGTATTTTTTAAACTGTGGAAAGCAAACAATTTGCTTATCTTTGCTTTTTTTTCTTTTTTAAATTAATTAATTTATTTTTGGCTGTGCTGGGTCTTTGTTGCTGCGCACAGGCTTTCTCTAGTTGCGGCGAGCCAGGGCTACTCTTCGTTGCCGTGCGAGGCTTCTCATTGCGGTGGCTTCTCTTGTTGCGGAGCACGGGTTCTAGGCGTGCGGACTTCAGTAGTTGTGGCACGCGGGCTTCAGTAGTTGTGGCTCGCAGGCTCTAGAGCGCAGGCTCAGCAGTTGTGGTGTGCGGGCTTAGTTCCTCCGCGGCATGTGGGATCTTCCTGGACCAGGCTCGAACCCGAGTCCCCTGCATTGACAGGTGGATTCTCAACCACTGTGCCACCAGGGAAGCCCCAATTTGCTTATCTTTAAAACTTGAACACACATGGTAATGAATCTCAGCTACCAAGAAGGTACTTTTATTTATTTCTTCCTAAGGAAAAGCAATTTCATATATTCTTTTATTTTTAATTCACACATGAATAGATGATTTTGTTCCTGCAACTGCACCGTTAAATAAAAAACCCAGAACTACACAAAAGGAGTTAAAACTAGAACAACCAGAACCTAAACTGAAGAATCTCCAGGAAAAAGACGTCCCACTACAAGAGAAAACCCCTAAAAAAAGGTGAGAGGTAAGACATACAGTACATGACATTAGGTGTGTGAATTTAAAAGAGAGAGAAATTCCGATTCTTGGTCTAAATTAGAATTTGAGCAGCATCATGGGTCTTATTTTATTTAGTGCATGTAGGAGAACAGGGATGTACCATTAATCCCCTTCTGACTTCCCGAACTTCTTTAAGTTCACAAATGTATGAGGAGATATCCATTTAAGTATTAAGACAATCATAATTACCAAGTTTAGAAGGTATGACTTGCATTTACAAGACCTAGTACCTGTCTCTGAAGTCCTCAGGTTTTACAAGACTACTTTGTTAAAAATTACATTTGTAAGGACAGTTTTATAAAATTTAAAACCATGTATCTATAATATATGAGATGATGGATGTTCCCTAAACTTCTTGTGGACATCATTTCATGATGCATGTAAGTCAGATCACTGTGAATCACTGTATTGTACACCTTTAACTTATACAGTGCTGGATGTCAGTTATATCTCAGTAAAACTGGAAGAAAAAAATTAAACCATGTATTTTTCTAGAGATAAAAAATATTTTCTCTTTATCTTACTGAGTTTTGTCCAGCAGTGAGCAGGACCTGTGGTTTCTAGACCCACCCTGGAGTTCCATTAGTTAGTACCAAAAGAGAGGGTAAAGTGAGGGAAGGAAGCCCCAAGAGACCCCAGACTTGCACTATGGGGAGGAGATGGGCAGAGGAGGGATACTGACAAATGGAACGTAGGACGTGTGATGCTTTACTCCTACAATAAATGTGAGGAAAGTTAATTAACGTAGAGAGACTTAGCCCATGTCCTTCTCCTTACTTTTTTCTATTTTGTTTTTGAGCTTCTTGTACTACCTTTAAAATATAGTTAACAGAACAACCAATGGATGGGAGAAAATATTTGCAAATCATAGAACCCATTAGGGACTTGTATCTGGAATATATAGGGAGCTCTTATAGTCCAACAATAAAAAGAATAAAGACCCAAGTTAGAAATGGGCAAAAGACTTGAATAGACACTTCTTTAAAGAATATATACAAATGGCCGATAGCACATGAAAAGATGCTCAACATCCCTAGCCATCAGGGAAATACAAATCAAAACCACAAAAAGATAACATATCCCGCCCAGAGGGATGGCTGTAAGCAGAAGGACAGACAACAGCAAGTGTTGAGGAGGATGTGGAGAAATGGAAACCTCACACATTGCTGCTGTGAATACAAAATGGTGCAGCCACAGTGGACAACAGAGTAGCAGTTCCTTGAAATAAACAGTTATTATATGACCCAGCCTAGGTATATACCCAAGAGAAATAAAAATTTATGCCCACACAAAAACCTGTACATGAATATTTATAGGAGCATTATTCATAATAGCCAAAAAATGGAAGTAATCCAAATGTTTATCAACTAATGACTGGATAAGTGAAATGTGATATATCCATACAGTGGAATATTATTCAGCAGTAAACAGAAATGACGTACAGGGAGGGGGAAGGGGAAGCCGGGACGAAGTGAGAGAGAGGCGTGGACATATGTACACAACCAAACGTAAACTAGATAGCTAGTGGGAAGCAGCTACATAGCACAGGGAGATCAGCTCGGTGCTTTGTGACCCCCCTAGAGGGGTGGGATAGGGAGGGTGGGAGGGAGACGCAAGAGGGAGGAGATATGGGGATATATGTATATGTAGAGCTGATTCACTGTGTTATACAGCAGAAACTAACACACCATTGTAAAGCAATTATACTCCAGTAAAGATGTTTTAAAAAAAGAAATGAAGTACTGATATATGCTACAACGTGGATGAACCTTGAAAACATTGTAGGGAGCCAAAGAAGCTGGCACAAAAGGCCACATATTATATGGTTCCAATAATACGAAATGTCCGGAATAGACAAGTCCATAGAAACAGAAAGTAGATTAGTGGTTGCCAGATGCCAGGGAGGGGGAAACGGGGACTGACTGCCCGTGGATATGAGGTTTCTTTTTGGGTTGATGAAAGTGTTCAGAAATTACATAGTGGTGATGGTTTCACAGCTCTCTGAATATACTAAAAACTGCTGAATTGTATGCTTCAAAAGGGTGGATTTTATACTGTGCGACTTATATCTGAATAAAATTGTTATTTTAAAAAATAAATCCTTCAAGGTGCATTCAGTATTACCTCCTTTACGTAGCCTTTTCTTACCTTCAAACCTTTTCAAACCTTTCTTTGCTTTCTCTTCCTCTCAAGCACTGTAGCACTCTTGACCACCTTGAACAGGAGACGTGATAATCTTTTTATATAGGGTAATTATTATGGAACTTGTTTTCCTACCTCCTCATTAACTGCAGACTTTTTGAGGGCACTTTTAATATCCTGTCTAGTGCAATGCCTCACAGAGTAAGTACTTGCTGAAATATTTGTCAAAGTCCAGATTGGGCGGAACGGATGTAAAAAAAAAAAGTAATTTCAATTTAATAAAAGAGCTATAACAGCTGTCTAAAGAGGTGTGGATGAGGTCAAGGAACATTTCTAAGTGGAAGTGATGTTTGAGCCACGTCCGTTCTCAGTTGGGCAGGTGCTTCCCACAGGGACGGAGCTGGTGGTGAGGAAGAGACATCACAATGAAAGGGACATTGTCACGTGATGCTCCTAATTCAAATCTGTTCTGCTGGGTCCATCCAACATGACACTTAACATTTCAGGAGGCTTAACTGGTTAAGGAGCAATTATGATCATGATTATTGTTGAAGAACATCTTTCTGAGGTTGGAAAGAAACTCTTAGTCACTGAGGAAAATCTCAGATTTTAGTTGAGATTGATAGTTTACAAACTCATTATTATTTGTGTGTCTATTTTAGAATGCCTTTAGATGATAAGCTCTACCAGAGAGACCTAGAAGTCGCACTGGCTTTATCAGTGAAGGAACTTCCAGCCATCACCATTGATGTGGAGGAGTCTCAAGATAAAAGTAACTTTATTTTCGATAATTGTCTTTAAAACCTTCTTATTGCTTTTGCAATCATTTCGTTGGATGAGCCTTTACAGAGGGAAGAATGTAGTTTTAAAACTTTGGACTAAAAAAGGAGCAATTTGCAGAGGGTGCCGTTGGATTCAGTTGTTTATTCAGTTGCATAAATCTCATCCACACATAAATACCTCTCTGCCTAACACTCAGATCCCACTGGAGGACGTGGGCTATGACCCTGCATGTCCAAAGCTCATCTTTATATGCAGTGAGAATTTAATTTCATGATCAAGTAAATTGACCTAAACATCCGAACAATCCACCGTCTTTCTCTCCAAATTCAGAGTAGTTAAACATAATCTAATGGTGGTAATTTTTATTATTTACAGAAGCTAAAGTTACTAATTTGGTTATCAAGCTCAGACTTGATAGATTTATGACTGCTGGCTTTATCTGTGGATTTTTCTCCGTGGATTTTTCTGGCAATTGGTCAGCAGATGGCAATATTGATATTCTGGAGAAGCAGAAATGATTATTCCCGGAAAAGACATTAAAATTGCTCAGTTGCTTTTTGGATTAAACTGCTTTGGCCTAACTTCTTTTATCTTGGAGGATATTTTTAGCCCATTTGCTTATTTAGGGGTATAGATGTTTTAAGTCAGTAGTGCCTCCTGTTTGAAAATAAGTGAGATAGTGTTGATTAGGGGGCCCTTTTAGTAATCAGGAGTCAAAGAAACTGAAAAAGAGAATTGTCATGTATCTAAAACTGAGAAAATGAAAATCTCTTTCCTGTAAGAGATCGTGGCATTGTATAGCAAGGTTTCCTTGGAAGTACCACTTCGAGAGTAATAGTACCAATCATCATGACTTAAAGTTCTCTTAAAATACTCTAGATCATTTGAAAGTTGTGATAATGATTGAAGAGTCTTTACATTAGTAAAAGCACAGATCTGCCTACACAAAAATGATAGTTAATATTTGTCCACTGTTTCCTTTGTGCTGGGCACTACAATAAGCAATTTCCACATTCAGTCAACATTTAATTCCCCACAATAGCCTCATTTAATCCCCACACTGTTTTTTTTGGTTTTGGGGTTTTTTTTGGCTGCGTTGGGTCTTCGTGGCTGTGCATGGGCTTCCTCTAGTTGCGGCGAGCAGGGGCTGCTCTTCCTTGCGGTGCACGGGCTTCTCACTGCGGTGGCTTCTCTCATTGTGGAGCACGGGCTCTAGGCACACGGGCTTCAGTAGTTGTGGCACACGGTCTCAGTAGTTGTGGCTCGTGGACTCTAGAGCACAGGCTCAGTAGTTGTGGCAGACGGACTTCGTTGCTCCACGGCATGTGGGATCTTCCCAGACCAGGGCTTGAACCCGTGTCCCCTGCATTGGCAGGCGGATTCTCAACCACTGTGCCACCAGGGAAGCCCCCCAGACTGTTTTTATCTCCACATTATAGATGAGGAAATTAAGTTTTGTAGAGGATAAGCAACTTTCCCCTGGTATATTGCCGATTTAAGAGCCTGAATTTGAACTTAAGTCTGATTAAAGTTTGTGTGATTTCAGAGCCAAAACTTCTAACCATATGTTAGCCTCGCCACGTAAAGTCACTGTGCTAGTTTGAGCCTGGATCAGTGGTCCCCAACCTTTTTGGTGCCAGGGACTGGTTTTGTGGAAAGCAGTTTTTCCACGGGGGTGAGGGGGGAGAATGGTTCAGGCGGTAATGTGAACGATGGGCAGGGATAGGGAGCGGCTGTAAATACAGATGCAGCTTCGCTCGCTCGCCGCTCCCCTCCTGCTGTGCGGCCCGGTTCCTAACAGGCTGCAAACCGGCACCAGTCCACGGCCCAGGGGTTGGGGACCCCTGGTCTGGATCATTTATCTGTATCTAAATGGTATTAGATTTTAGCGCTTATCTTCCTGTTTCTAGACATTGGTTGATTAGGGTGCTTTCTTCTTCCTTATATTTAGACATTGGCAAATATGGCAATAGTGAAACAGAAGCAATGAGTAAGTCTCCTCATATCTCCAATTGCAGTGTAGCCAGTGATTATTTAGGTAAGTTTTTGATATTAAAAAGTTTTTCCATCGACATTTTCTAACTCTTATTTAAATTCCTGAAACTGTAACTAGAACCAAGGTCTTCACATTCGTGAAGGTTCTCTTCACCCCTTCTCCTTTGTTTCTTTCTGTTTTAGTTTTCCTCTCTTTTAACTGCAGACCCAGTTTCTTCCCTGGTGGAGGGTCACGACTACCCATGGCTTCTAGTTGACATCAGTTGAACACTGAAGAAAGGGGCTCTACCTTCCCAGCTCCAGTTTGAAAATTCTTGGGGAAAGACTCTTTCAGTGTGGGCCTTGGACTTTTGCTTAACTCAGACTGTTGCCAGGAGACTGATGTATTATGATTGACCCAGATTGGGCTGTGTGGTCTGTTACTAGAAGCACAGGAAGGACAAAGCTGGGCAAATAAAAAGAGCAGGTGTAATAGAAGTCTACTCCACAGTTCTTTAAATGTTACCTGGCACAAAAAGTTTCGTTGATTTTTTTTATCCCGAAGATCTGGATAAGATCACTGAGGAGGGTGATTCCCAGGGTTCTCAGCGGAGAAGAAAAGCGGCATCCCAAGCCGTGGTCCAGCAGAGGAAGATTCTTTTGGAAAACAGCAACGGCGACGGTGCCGATGACTCCGAACCAGACTTTGCAACTGGTAGGTTATGTCCTAACTCAAAATTAACCCTATGGAGAGTCAGTAGAAAGTTCTTGGAGACCATGAACGTATGCAAAGCACTGCTAAACGTTTGGTGTGTGCAAACTTGAGTAATACACAGGACAGTTCAATTCAGCTATGGCATTTGGGGGAAAAGCTTTATCTAGAGGTGACCTTTAAGCTGTGCCTTGAAAAATGAGTAGCATTTAGGGGTGAAATAGCACTTCTGACTGATAGAAGGGCATAAACAAGAGAACAGGCAAGTGCACATACGAGAGCTCAGTGGCGCTGGAGGTTCCTCAAAAAACTAAAACTAGGACCACCTCAGGATCCAGCAGTTCCACTCCTGAGTATTTATCCAAAGAAAACAAAAGCACTAATTAGAAAAGATATCTGCACCCGCATGTGCACTGCAGCATTATTCACAATAGCCAAGATGAGACAGCAACCTAAGTGCCCGTCAGTAGATGGAGGGATAAAGCGGATGTGGTGTATGCGTGTGTCCACACACACACACAGTGACTATTACTCAGCCATAGAAAACATGCCATTTGCAGCAACATGGGTGGACCTAGAGGGCATTGTGCTAAGTGAAATAAGAGAAAGACAAAAACTGTATGATTTCACTTATATGTGGAATCTAAAAAACAAAACAAATGATCAGACAACAAAACAGAAACAGTTACAGATACAGAGAACAAACAGGTGGTTGCCTGAGGGGAGGAGGGTGAGGAGAGGAAAGAAATAGTTGAGGGAGATTAAGAGGAACAGACTTCCAGTTGCAAATTAAATGAGTCATGGAATGTACAGTGTGGGGAGTGTACTCAATAATTATGTAGTATCTTTGTGTAGTGACAGATGGTAACTAGCTTATCGTGGTGATCATTTTGAAATGTATAGAAATATGGAATCACTGTGTTGTGTACCAGGAGCTAACACAGTGTTTTAGGTCAATTATACTTCACAGACAAACAAATTCATGGAAAAAGAGATCAGGTTTGTGGTCACAGAGGCAGGTGTTGGGGGAGGGGGAATGGGATGGAGGCAGTCAGTAAGTACACACGTGCAGCTATAAGATAAATAAGCACTAGGGATATAACGTACAACAGGACGAAGATGATGAGCACAGCTGTGTGTTACATATGAAAGTTAAGAGAGTAAATCCTAAGAGTTCTCATCACAAGAAAAACAATTTTTTCGATTTCTTTAATCTTGTGTCTGTGAGATGATGGAGGTTCACCAGACTTCTTGTGATAGTCACTTCATGATGTACGTAAGTTAAATCATTATGTTATACACCTTAAACTTACACAGTGCTGCATGTCAGTTATATCTCAGTAAAGCTGGAAGAAACAAGAGAAAAAGACATAGAAACACACACACACACACACACACACACACAGTTCAGTGAGGTTTGCAGGGAAGGGAGAATGTGGTGGAGGTTGGAGAGGCCGCCTGGCGCCAGATCGTGAAGGGTCTCAAGCCTGCTTTACCTTAAATGGAAGGACAGACATGTTCCCCGATACACTCAGTGTACTTCAGGGAGCAGTACTACCAGTTTATTTCCATCTGCCCTGAGCCAGGAATGACTCACTCTGCCATCCCCTCAGAGCTGGTTGTTTATCGTACTTGAATGTGCTGCTGGATTCATTTCAGACAACCTGAGTTATCTGGGACAGGGTCCCTTCTTTAAGTGACATTTCAGAGTTTTCCTCCTGCACTGGCTCACCCTAGATGAGAAGAGAAAGGAACTTCTGTGACCTTCAGTGGGGAAAGGAAAGTGAAAATGGAGAGAATCAAGGCTTTTCTTTAAGGACATCTAAAGATACCCCAAATCTATAACCTGAGTGTCTGGGCCTTCCAGATTTCCCAGTATGAGATGCTAATGACTTGGGATTCTGGGAGCTCCATTTCCCCACCTCCAGTTTATTTAAATAGCATGATAGCCTGCCCCTACAGTTATCCTCTCAAGCCAAGAAAAGAACACATGAGATACCGTAACTGTTGGGGTATAGGAAACTGTATCCTAGATTCTATAGTCTGAAATTTTGGAGAAACTTCTCCACTGCTTTCCCTCCCTGAACCTAGATCCTCTTGGGAATCCAGAAATAATTATTTGATTTTGCAAGGTACTATTTATAGCTGCCTTCATGTGATCTGCTGGCCTTATATGGTGAATTCTGTATAACACGGTAACTATTATGTGAATACATGGGTTGATTATCTGTTTTTAAAACTTTGTGTGGGAAGAATGATAGAATAAGGACATCACAATTTGAAGATTGTAATGACATTGTTGATTTAGGCAAAGGTCATCAATAGAAGGCTGACGAGGATCTTTACAATGGAGAATTCAGGCCGGCGTCAGCTGAACCAACCAGGAGTGGGGCAGCCATACATTCTGTGCTTTCTGATATGACTGACATAATATGGAGAACAGAGCATCACCTATATGATGGTGTATTCTTGCCCAAAAAAGTAATAATAATAATAATGTGAGCTTGATTCTCATTGAGCCTTGAGAAAATTCCAGCTCACAGGAAATGCAAGCGTAAGTTAAATGACACCATGAGGAAGTAAACAGAACAATCCAGAATGTAGGACATTCCATAGGACAATGGTTGTCCTATGACAGCCAATGACCTGGTTGCTTCAACATGTCAAAGGCGTGGGGGAAAAAGCGATGGGACATTGCTCTATATTAAAAGTGATTAATATGGGCTGGATAGAAGATGATTCCAAGAAACTATTGTTGATATCCTTAGATATGATAATGACGTGTTTTTTATAAGTCCGTGTTTTTTAGAGATGCATTCTGAAGTATGTAGAAATGTAATAATGCAGTACCTTGGCTTTATTTTTATATACTCTGAGGAGGAAAGGGAAGAGAAGATAGATAGATGAAACAAATGTTGCAAAATATTGATGATTGTTGAATCTGGGTGGTAGTTTATTATTATCTACTGTAGAGTATGTTTGAAAATCTTCATATATATATTTTTTTACATAAAATATATTATTCCATATAGATAGTTAGGTAGGTATTATATATGGTGGGTATGACAGTGGTTATCTCTGAGTGAGGAGATTTGGGAGTGGGCTGTCTTCTTCCTTAATACTTTTTTGTATGGTCGGCATTTTCTACAGTAAGCATGTACTGCATTTGTAATAATGTATAAAAAAGTGTAAAAAGTTTTTTTATGAATATAGGGCTAATCCCTATTTACACTTAATTTTCAGAGTTTAGTATTTACAGGACATGATTTTCTGATCCTCTCTTCCCCCGAAAAATAGAAGAATCATTGCTTAACTCTTGAGTATTCTCTGTGCTTTTTTCCAGAAGCTGTAGCTACTTAACACATTCCATCACTGGCTTGTATCATCCCATGCAGAATAGAAAGGAGTTTGTGGGCAATCAGAGGTGTGTCCCAGGTGAAATCTTACACAGGATTGTCAGTTAAGATGGTTATGGTACGGTCAGTCTCTTCCCAATTCCCAGTGGGTTTCTGTTCTGGCATGTTGAAGTTGGTGTGATTAAGGAAAGGCATACGGTCATTATTACCATCAAGGTTATCGTTTTGGAAGAGCAGCTAATGTTATACCCAACCATTCTTCCCAAAAGTTGCTGAGTTAAACTGGTAAAATCAGAAGTAAGGATTACTGATGGGAAATTAATGATAATAGCAATAGCAAGCAATGCTCTTCTGTTCGCTATATGCCAGATGTTATTCTTTACCTATAGTAACTCACTTAATCTGCACAACAACCCTGTGATGCAGGTTTTAGGGTTCTCCCTATTTTATACATAGGAAACTGAGGCATGGTGAAGTTAGGGACCTGTCTCAGGTCACATGACATGTCAGTGGAGCGGCCAGGATCCAGACCCAGGCACTATGCATTGTTTTGCCCCTGGAAACAGCATAGCACAAAGGGGCACAAGAGTCTGGTGCAGAAGATGAAGTTGAGGCACTAGAAGCTGGAAGCGTGGAGTCCTAACCACTGGACCGCCAGGGAAGTCCTAGAAGCCTCACTTTTTAGAACTTTTTAGAGATGAGCTTTGTAATCTTCTGTTTCAGGTGAGGATTCTGAGGACGATTCTGATTTTAGTGAGAGTGAAGATGATGAAAGTTTCACTGTGAGAAAAAGTAAAGTTAAAGAAATTAAAAAGAAGGAAGTGAAAGGGAAATGTCCAGTTGAAAAGAAAGAGAAGAAAGCCAAATCCAAACGGGATGACGTGGGTAAGAGCAGCCCTCCATACGTCGCTTCATATATGCTTTGCTTACTTAACGTGCTTCTCTCACCTTTGCCTTTAGTCTCCTTAACCTTTTGCCAGCGTTCGTTTCTTGTTAAGATGCTTTGAAGAGAGCAGGCCGCGGTGGGGAAGGCAGGAGGGCAGATAGGGGCACTGACCCCCC